AAGCAAACCCAGCAACGGTACTGCAATAATTTTGGGTCTGGGTCCCTAAACCCTAAACCCTAATCCCTAAACCCTAATCCCTAAACCCTAAGCTCTGAACCCTAATCCCTAAACCAAAAGCTCTGAACCCTAAACCCTAATCCAGAAACCCTAATCCCTAAACCCTAAACCCTATACCAGAAAAGAACTCAAGTGATTCGTGACGCCGGTCAACCCAGAGGCTTCTCAAGTCATTGGAAAGTAAACCAACCAGGGTTTAGGGTTTAGGGGTTTAGGGTTTATAGGGCTTAGAGGTTTAGGGTTTAGGGGTTTAGGGGTTTAGGGGTTTAGGGGTTTAGGGTTTAGGGGTTTAGGGGTTTAGGGTTTAGGGTTTAGGGACCCCAACCTCAAATCATGTCCGTCAGCATAGGGCCCTAAACCCCGAAACCCTAAAACCGTGAACACCAAAGCAGACTGGAGTTTAGGGTTTAGGGTTTAGGGTTTAGGGTTTAGGGTTTAGGACTAGCCTACAAGCTTTGTCCGCATCGGCCAGGATATTTACGGTCCACAGGGTCTTAAGCCAAGACTTTCTCCCAGAAAGTCTTACTTGTCCAGTATCCTAGGGGAACCAAAGGCTACCATTCGGGGTTGTATAGAGATTAGAACCCCTATCAAGCCCTCTTCTAGTACCTCCGAAAGGCTAAACCTTACCTACTCTCCTACTGGAGCAAACCCCAGAAAGTTGGAACATAGGTTTACGAGGATGAATGCTAGAATCCCTTCTACTTTATCTTAAGGGCATGAGGATAATGTTCCAACTTTCTGGCTTCTACTTTAAACCCTTTATAAACCCTTTTCATATAGTTGGAACCCTTATCTTACACAGTTCTCACAGAACCCCTTATCGAACCCCCTAAAGGGTTAAAGGTTGTCCACTCTGCGGCTAAGAGGTGCCTAAACCCTAAACCCTAAACCCTAAACCCTAAACCCTAAACCCTAAACCCTAAACCCTAAACCCTAAGAGGTGCCTCGTCCGTGACCATGGGCACGCATCTCTTGCCGAATTCGCCAGACTCAGGGGCAGCAGGTTCAGGATTTAGAGGTTTAGGGTT